TAAAAAAGAATCGGCTGCCGAGGTCCCGTGCTTGTGGGGACCTCGGCAGCCTGCTGAGGACCTGGCAGTAGCTATCCTTGGTAGTGGCACTCTGGCCCTATATCTCCTTCTCCTCCTTCCTGGCGCAGGCACAGCCAAGCACAGCCCTGCACCGAACAAACAGCCCCTGAGGCGGCAGAAGACCGGCACCCATTCGTTCATCACGGCGCCCAATCGTTTCTAGATTTCACAATTTTAAAAAAAATTATACTATTTAAAATATGGATTGTTTGCAACCGTCAAAGGGGTAAACCATATGGTTGATTATAATCACTTATTAGCCAATTATGCACTTGCCTAATTAGCAGCACATTGAGCGTCATCAGTTCAGTCAAGGTTCACAGATGAAAACTGAATCAGTATTTGCCATAGAGATGCATTGTTGTCTGTTTTTCATCTGCAACCGGAGGGTTGAAAACCTGACAACCTGAACGCTCATGTAAAAGGGCCTGAATCTCTCAGTTGTAAGCAATTAAAATCACTTTCTGTAGCTTAGCACTTAAGTTTACAATACATAGCAATAAACTCTTTAATAGGAAGGGGGTCTCAGCTTCTAATGTATTGTGTAAAAACTACCTGGTCTACATTTTTACAGTATAGAAAAAAATAAAATCATGATGACAGCCTCAAAACTTGCTTCTTTAAAAGCAATTCAAATAGCACCTTTCCTAACCAAAGTGTGGGAGTTTTGGTGTCAGAATGGCCCCGTAAGTACTTTCACGATCCACAAAAGTGTTGCTTATTCATGCATCTCTCAGCTGTAGATCATCAAATCATCTCTGAATTTGTGCTGACACTGTCCTTCCTTCTGGAGGGTGGCTACTTTTGCTCCCCAATGTCCCTGTGTGTGTTGTAGAGTAGCCACTACTCCAAGCTCACTCTTGTGATGGAACACAATCTCAATACAAATTAGTAAACTAAATGTGCAACTGTAGTTCATCACAGGAGTGATCTTTGTGCAGTGGGTTCTTTACAACATACACAGGGACCATGGGGAACAAAAGTAGCCACCCTCCAGGAGGAAGGACAGTGTCAGCACCAATGCAGAAATGATTTGAGGATCTACAACTGAGTGATATACAAATAAGATACACTTTTCTTAATAGTTAAGGTACTCGAAAGCATTTTTAAGATTTAACTCCTGAGTTTAGTGTCACTTTCATTGCAAACTTTTGGAGGCTGATGCAGATATGAGCATCTCTAGGTGTTTGCTCTTTATAGCTGTATCAGTTTTTCTTCCCTGACAGAGTTTCTTTAAGATATTAAAAAGGTATTTACAAAAACTATAATAGGATTAAAAAAACAGTATCTGGCCTATCTGCACTTTCGTCTACGTGTCTCTAAAAATGAGATTACATAGGGTAGGTTTCTTCAAGTAAACAAATCTTCAAAGTAAGAGTTGTTACACTTGTTTTAAGGCAAAGCACATTTTTACAGCTAGTAACTTCTATTGTATTTCTATCCAAGTGTAAGATTAACATGCAAAGCATTTCCAAAATGATGTCCAGGGTTCAGAACAAAACACGAAAACAAAGACTGAACAAAGATGAAGACGACAGTGTTACCTGTTCAACTGTCTGTTTGTGATTTGCTTGTAATAAAGTCATTTCCAAGTTTAAATCATAAATGTTCTGCTCGGCAGACTCCAGACTTTTTGTACTTTTTCTGCATCGTTTCTTTGACTGTTCCAAATCTTCCCGCAGTTTCGCTATCGTTTCCTCATCAAATTCAGCCTTGAACATTAGAAATGTGCACTTTGATGAAGACCTTTCAAAAAACCTTTTTTTTTTTAAACATTTGAGATTATATAAAGATCACTATGCGATTGTGGGAGAAAGCAAAAGCAACCTCTCACCACTTTGAGGCCTTTTCTATAGCCCAGAGCTGCTTTTCGCTGTGATCACGATCTTTAAACAATTCTCTAAAGTTTCCCCATCCTGATGACAGGGGCACACATGAAGTACGAGACAACGCCTGACCTGCGTATGAAGACACATTTGTAAGGAGTTCCTCACCAAATGTGTGAATACAATTTTTCTACTTTCCTTTTATCAGGGAATAGAGCTTGTACAAATAATAAAAGGCACAGGTTCTGTAATCCTCCAGTCATCTAACCTTCCCACAGGGGCAAACAGAAGCGACGTGCAGTCGGATGGTGTCACAAGCCACAACCAGAGGATTAAAACAAGTCTTATTACCGTGCAAGCTCTGCCATTCCGTTAAATTACTTATGTGAACAATTTAAATAGCCAGGCCAATTTCAGCCACTGCTCAGTGCACCTACAGGAAGGGAGGAGGTTTAATAAAGCTGAGACACAGATTACTTTTAAAGCAAGCTGTATCCATAATCATTTCTTGTGAAATATACATCCACAATAATTTCCAGGGAAATGTATCCAACTGCATTTAGAATGAAATGACATCAGTGACTGCAGCTGCTGCAGTATAAAAGAGCATTTGTCATCTGCATAAACCTGTATGCAACCTTTTTGTAGGGTAAGTTTAGATAAATCCTAGCCTTTTATCCTTCCTCTAT